TGTTAGAAAATCGACCATCGTCGTGGCCGCCGAAGATGCGCTCGTACTCCTCGGATGAACTGAAAACTAAAGTGCAATTGGAGGCTCCATGTCGAGGTGGTGTTGCAGCCGCAAAGGTAGCAATTTATCGTCACGATATGTATCTGCATACAATGAATTCAGACAGCAACAATGACATGTATGGAGAATATTTGCGAGACTTGAACCAGATATCGTGTCGACTCGAGCGCCGTCAAGATGATGCGTTTCGCGATGATAAAGTCGCTCAAGCTATCATGATGCTCCCCCCATCGGTCGACGATGCCCGGTGGCTGCCTCGCATAGTCTCATTCGCGGTCTCGATGCTTGTCTTTATGCTCAATTTACATTGGTGGTCACATGCAGGAAGCTGCTTCAAGAAATGTCGAATTTCTCGCCCTGGACAATATCGCTACGGATTTCCACGAGCTCGAAGTAAGCAGACGGTTTGCTCGAGTGAGGGAATTGATCTTGCGCGACGATCACCATTTGAGTTCGTCAATGGCTTTAATCGTGAGATGATGCTGACATTTAAGCAAACCATGACATTCAAGTAATGATCGGTGGTTTAAACGCGTTGCAGCGGATATACTATGCGACCAAGTACGTTACGAAGATGCAGGAGCAAATTGATTCGATTACTGCAGTTGCCCTCGCTGCGTTTAAGCGACGTCAAGTTCGGAAAACGCTAGATGGTGTGTCTCGTGATGTTAATCGAGTTGCAGTGGGCCGCAGACGCGTTGCGTCGTTAGTTTATGCGATCACAAATCGACGCGAAATCGCAGGGCCACTCGCTGCTTTATACGTGCTACGTGGGTCATGCGCGTATATGAGCACACCGTGTGCATCGCTTCCTCTACGAAACGTGTTAAACGAGCTCGTCGAAGGCGTGCCGCGCTCGTGTGATCTCGTCCGGCTTCAAAGGCAAAGTTCAGATGTTACCTTTCGTGCAGCGTCGTTTCTTGACGATTATTTATTCCGGCCGCGGTCACTTGACAATGTGGGTTTGTACGAATACGTGGCAAGACACTTTCAACAGCTGAGTCTGTTCTGTTCTTACCGGACCACCCACTTTTTATTTCGCACTGTGTTGGTACGCACATTGATAAAGTGGTTCCGGTCGTGTCTGGCATTCAAATACCCTTTGTGGATTCCGAGTCGTCGTTTGAACTTGTCGTGAAGCGGAGCCAATGTGCATTAGTTTTGTTTAAACCGTTCCGTGCTGTCAAAGATCTTGTTTCCAACGCGACAGACAATGCTAAATGGATTGAATCATTTTGTACAGTGGCAACCCACGCGCTCGAGTTTTACGTGTGAAATCATGGCTAATATGGATGACTATACCGCGCAACTAAACAGGCAAAAGAATGTAGTGCGGCCAACGATGATGCTGAAGTTCCTACTGATAACAACACGGATAACGATGAACTCGTTGGGACTCGCGAGGACGTCGATGCTGTACTCAATCATGAGGATGAATCCGAATCGGATGTTCCGGATACCTCTCGATTCGATACTTTCTGCCGCTGTTTCAACAACAAAGGTGGTGATGATAATGGAGATAATGATAACGAAAGCCCCGCTGCATTTGCTCTGGAATCAACCTTGCCAATCTTCCCGAGCTCAGGATCGACCATCTCAAGTGAGGATATCAACATTTGTTGAATAATGCCGCGCAGCGGACTGTGAATGCGGTCGCAGACGTGCGCAGTTACAGCTTGACGTTCGATTTCTCGGTCGATGAACTGCAACGATTTGTTAGTGATACATCCAATGACGAAACTACGCCACACCGCTTGAACAGATACTGCAACGAGCGACCCACCGAAGTGATTGAGCTCATTGAGAATACACTCCAATCTGTTCCACAGTGGTCGTCACTGAATCAGCTATCGCCACAACCACCATCTCCTCTTCGAGCCTACGCATTGATTGAAGACGTCGCTAGAGCATTTACTCTCAACAAACGTCAATACGTTGCATTCACCTTAATTGCAACGTCACCCCTTCGACGTTTTCTCCATCAGGAGCTTGGCAGTGTTCGTGGTAACAGCGACGGCTATCGCACAGACAAATTTGAGGCGCAATCTCGTCATGACCAGCTATTGATGTTCTTAGGAGGTACTGGCGGCACCGGCAAAAGCCGTGTGATCGACGCAATTGACGCGTTTTGTGCTAGCTGGCAGCGTGAGTATTCTGTCGTGAAGACGGCCTTGACGGGCAAGGCAGCTACTCTCGTTGGCGGGCGAACTCTCGCAAGTTTCATGATGCGCCTGCAACACGACATCAATGAAAACAACTTCTCGCCGTTGGACCTTATAGTGATTACTGAGGTCTCCATGATGAGTAAAGCCGAATTGCTCCGGTTGGACAGGCTGCTGCGGCGCTACAAGCACATTTCTGCGCTGCCGTTTGGCGGTGTCCATGTCGTCCTTGTTGGTGATTTCTTGCAAATGCCACCAGTAAAAGCTGACCCCATTTACCGCGATCCAACCGAGAAGGTCAGAGCGAAAACTACTGATATTGAAGGGTTTGACCTCTGGAGAAGATTTACGACCGTCGTGATCCTCGAGGAATCAGTGCGTTTCCGAAACGATCCGGAGTGGGGCGCCGGCTGTAGTCTGGCTCGGCTTGGACAATGGACACCAGAGTTCATTAATTTGATTAACAGTCGCGTGATCACGCGGCACGAACGGGGGAGCACTACATTGCCATTGTTACAGAATGATATAGGCTCCAATGCAGTCTTTGTCACTCCAGAAAACGCGACTCGCTTGGCCATTAACAACGAGCTCGTCACAAAGACTGCGTCAATGCTACCCACCAACATGTTCCCTGTCCGCGTCATCGCCAACTTTAAGGGCTCACTCAATGGACTTAGCCAAAGTGATCTGCGCTATGCCATGAGCCTTCCCGATAATCGATTCGGTAGGATGGCTCCCTACCTCGACTTAATAGACGCCATGCCCATTCAGATCACGCAGAACATCGCAACTTCGAAAGGCGTCGCGAACGGCACGCTTGGCACTTTAGCTTTTGTGCTTCCCCCCTAACACTAGCTTTCAGCTCGTGCGCGATGGTGCGTCCAATACAATCGTTCAGTTACCCAGTAAGCCGCCGGAGTACGCTATGGTTCGCATACCACGACCGCAAGCGATTGCAATTCGTGATGGAGTTGACCCAGAGCTGTTCCCAGTGTTTTTCAAGACCGAAGCCTACATGAAGTCCACCATCGCACTCTCAAAGACACCTGACGGACAACCGCGCTCGGTCACCGTCAAGCCCCAGCAACTGCCTTTCGTCTGCGCTGTCGGGTCGACGGTCTATAAAGTTCAGGGAGAAACGCTCACCTCCATGGTCGTCATGGATTGGAAGTCGACACAGCGAGTTGTGAACAAACCACAACAATCATACCTGCTTGTTTCCCGAGTAACATCCAGATACGCATTTGTTGCGTTGACTCCGTTTACCCACGAGCTTGCAGCGTGGTCCAAGCCACCTGTACGCGCACTCAATGAAGAAGAGCGGCTGATCCGTCTCAGTAACATCACCCTAGCGTCATTTCAGACACCATCGGTTCTTCACTCAAACTCCACCGCCATGGAAGGTATTCAATCATCGCCACCTCTTCTCTACCCAGACTCCACCGCCATGGAAGACATTCGTTAGTTTGTGTTGTTTGGTCTAAACAAAATTCAGGGAGAAACGCTCAGGTCAATGTTCGTCATGCATCTGAGCGCAAGAAGACCGAGAGAATCGTAACTTTCCTCTTTATTCAAATTCTCGTCATCGATCGCTTTGTTAGTAAACACACTAGCGACACATCGCAACGAATCCGCCGTAATGACACCACCAGACTCACTCACACCCACAGTAAGAGGCATCCGCAACATCCCGAAGCTTCTTTCCAAGTAGCAGCGCCAACTCTTGCGCCAATCTGTTCTTCAATCATCACCACTTCTTCTCTACCCAGACTCCACTAGCGACAGCTGACACTGCGTCAAGTCCATACTCGCTCGAGTATTCCACTGCATCCCGAAGCTTCTTTCCAACTAGCAGCGCCAATTCTTGCTATAATCTGTTGTTTCCTTCCTCTTCCACGTGTTTTTCTCTCCAGCAAAGCGCTTTCCAGTAGTACCATGGAGGGTATTCAATCATCACCACCTCCTCTCCACCCAGACCCATCGTGTTCTTCTCTCCAGCAAAGCGTTTTCCAGTAGTGCCATGCAATCATCACCACCTCTTCTCCACCCAGACTCCACTACCACTGCCATGGAAGACATTCGTTACTTTGGGTGTTGTTTGGTGCTGTATGTGCGACGAATGTTACTTGATCGTTATGTGTGACGAAGGTTGAGAGATGACAAACTCCCTCGTTACCCCACCAACACAGTTCTCACTATGTTCGAACTGTTAATAACACAGTTCTTCGAACTGCAAGTTCAAATCAACTCTCTATTTGTCGAACATCCAGCGTAAACATTATGGAAAGGTTTGTTTTTCATAATGTTTATTAGTTTAAGCTTCTTATACTTGAAGCACTGTATTTCAGTACATGTAATATTTAAGCATTGGTGGCAAAAGCTGCAGGTGATGAAAAGAACGCCACGTGCACTGAAGGGTACTTGTACGTGTACTTGGTAGCGTCCCTATTGAGACTTAGCAATTATCCTACTACGTAGTCTGTATTCGTCAAGTATAAAACATGTACATGTACCATTACATGATTTTTTAGAGAAATACTAGAGCTTCTAGTAGAAGTGCAGTCATGATGCCACGCAAGATTGGGAGCACCCATAAATCCCTGATCCTGCTGCCAGTGGACTACCAATGAGATTCCTATGAGTCCCGTCCAGCATTAAGAATCCTATTCGATCCTTCGATCCTAATAGGATGCTGGGAATCATTTCTCATCTGTCCCACTTGCTGCTTAACCCTCTGCCTCATAGTGCTTGATCTCAGCTCCCACAGCGAAAATGATCATGCGTCTCACTGTCGTGCTACTGATGATAGTCGCCACACTTCTTGTATACAGCGAAGCGCGCTCACTTCGTCAAGGTTCTCCCACCAGTCTGACGTCGAAAGCTGATGCAGATTCCGAGGAGAGATGGTTCGTTATCCGCGACCCTTTATCAAAAGCGGCCACTACAGTTGAGAAGGTCTCAGTCGAGTCGTCAAAGAGAAATAAAGTCCTTAACAAGTTGGCCAAGATTCTCCTTCCAGACACGAGCGACTTCAGATTAGTGTACAAAGATGGCCGGTGGAAATCTGAAAAGTTCTTTTGATGCACTTGTGCTGCTAGCACGGTAGTCTGGAAGACTACTTTACGACTTGAGTAATTATCGAGGGAATTACTACGCTCAACGATTTCATTTATTTGCGCGAAGGTGCAATTTTTCCATCCACGATTGTCCTGTTACCATCATCGGACCAAATTTCTTTCCCGTTTTAGACGACGTACAAGTCAAACTGTCGCCCCAGGCTACAGCATGAGCATCAGAGCGATCGTGGTGGTATTGCTGAATGTGAAAAAAAAAGATCCCATCATTCCAATATCGTTTGCAAAGCTTTTTAATCCATGTGCAGAACTTGTTTAGCGAGACGAGTTCCATCGAAGCTATGACTAATGCCGTGCGTTGCCCAGCTCTGAATATTATCGAACGTATTTGAAGTTACCCTCCAAGTCTAACATAATACTGCTACGTAAACGCTAAAAAAAATGATCTTGGGACTTTGTGTTGTTCAGTAATAAGACCGAATATGATGTAATACGTTCCTTCTTACAAAATTTTAACATAATGACTGGGGAACTCACAAATAAAATACTACATGTATAATATGAAAAGGCTACATACTGTACTTTTTGGCTACAAATAAGTCTTTTAGACCATTAGGCTCTCTCAATCCGCTCAATCTCTGATCGATTATGGCGCAGCACAAGCTTCCGTTGCGCACGCTCATTGTCAGTGCGAGTACGATGCGAGTTCATTACAAAAGACCTCGTCGAGAATACATGTTCCTGAAAAGCAGTAGAAGAAGTACACAATACTTGTTTCTTTTGTCTCTGCAAAATGAAGACGACTGTAAACCGAAACTGTAGCATCATCATCCATCCCATGTATCACTTCCCGAAGGGTGATGTAGTACTCAGCTGCTATTACCTTTTTATCACTGCCGGTTACTGTATTTCGCCACTACAGGTATTTTAATATTAAAATAAAACTACACATGAACTCTGGATAATATCCAGATTCTTACCATTGATAAATCTGAACGAAAAACTATATTATAAACTCTGGATTTAAAACTCAGAGAAGATATAAAAATCGCTAATTTAAATTTGACTAAAATTATTGTGCTTTGCAGATGGCTCCGTTTTGGCAGCCTAGGTCGAGCGGCCGGAGCATAAAACCAGTCATAAAAAAGAGATGCAGATAGATTTTATCTGTGATCGAATTACCTTTCAAAACGGCAAAAAGGGTCGATTTACAGGATATCGATGTGGATTTGATGGTAGATCGATCGGTCGCTTTGGCTGTCAAGGCAGCACGGACCCCGATTCGATCTCGGCAAGCAATATAGGCTAAACTCATGTCGTGTAGCCCGGCTTAAGCTTAGTTTGATTGAGAATGAGTAGAAACTTAACTGAGTCATGACATACTACTACGTAGTACTTTGAAACTACGTTGTACTAGAAGTAAGTGATTTAAAAAAAAGTAGTTTACCGCTGACTTGCTAAGAAATATTCTTTGGTACTACTTTCTGGCCCAAAGCAAATTTAGTGATGCTGTTTTGCTCTGGGTCATTGCGAGCGAATACAACGTTGCATGAAGTGATGAAAGATCTCATGAATACGTTCAACCTGTGCACAAGTGAAGGATTTTATTCAAAGCATCGGCTGGATCTCTCATTTTCGCGACGTAGCAGCAATGACGAGTCCAATCGAGAACAATCTTAGTAGTCATCGCCACGAGAGACCACCTCCTTGCACGTCGGACGCAAAATAATCGTGTGTTCGTACTGCGCCGTGTAGCTGCCTTTGACGTCCACAAGCGGTGGGTACGCGGTGACGATACCCGTGTCCACCAGGTTCTTCAGGGCCATGAGGTATTTCTCCTGCTTGGCGCCCTTCGGATTTAGCGTAGCCGAGCCACCGTCCTCACGCTCGATCCATCGACGGCACCATGGTAGTGTACCGAAAGTACGCGTGATGTGGCCCAGCAGTTTCTTAGCGCGGGGCAGACGCAGCGGCACGTGAGGAGCGTCGAAGGCCTTGGCGTAATGCGAGCACTCGCCGTCCTCCACCACGTAGCCACGACCGGTGGTGTTGAACGTCTCAATAGCGAAGATCTCTCCTTCCTCCATCTTGGTCTGGTCCTCAGTCTTGACAATAGGAACGCTCTTACCAGCGTGAATCTGGTAAGGGCCAATAGAGTGGCCGTTGAGGTTACGGATACACTTAACCGGGTACGTCTTGCCGTCGATTGTGACCTCGAACGACTCCATCACTTCCTGAATAGCGCCACCGATCTCACCCAGACGGGCGTCAATACCAGCGTTCGCGATACCGGCCTCTGTCGCAGCCTTGGCAGCAGCCAGCAGAGGGTCGAACTGCGGGTCGAACGCCACGGTCCACGCACTGTCGATGATGCGTCCGTTGATTTGCGTACCGAAGTCCACCTTCATCACGTCTCCGTATGATAGCACCGTGTCGTCTCCAGAGTTGGGCGTGTAGTGGGCAGCCACATGGTTCAGCGAGCAGCCTGTGGGGAAGCCAATACCGCGCTACAGTAGTCGCCACGTTAGTAAAATAGAAATAATTGTAAATACGTAATAAATATAAATCACTTCGTACAGCAAAGCCGGCCTCGACCACGAGCTCTCGGTTCTTGTTCTCGAGCTGCGTGCACATGTCGACGAGCTTAATGCCAGGCTTCATGAGGCTCTGTGCGAACTTGCGCACATGGCGATGCACCTCAGAAGCGTGTCGAACGGTCTCGTAGAGATCTTCCTGGACACGCTCTAGTGCGCGCTTCTCCTCACTCGTGAAACGGAACGAGTTAAAGTCGCCTGGGTGATCCTGGATCTCGCCAACGGGGTAGTGTCCGTCCGGGAAGAGCTTCTCAATGGGGATCGTAGGCGGCTCCGTCTGACCCACAGCCACGTAGCTGTCTGTGAAGCCCTGGACGCCGCGGAACGGCGGCAGTTTGGAGCCAGCGGAGGCAGAGGAGGTCGAGCTCTTGCTCTTCTTCTTTTTGTTCTTCTTCTTCTTCTTCTTGCTCTTAGTGTCCGTGGACACAACTTCGCCGCTGTGCTCGGCGTCCGCCATGTTGACGTCGTCCACGACCTCTGGAGTCGCGGCCTCCTGCTCTTCAAGCTTCGCCATGCTGCGTGTATTACCTATAGACACTTGGATTGTGACAAAAAGACTCAGAATCTGATCCGTAATGGGTGGTTATGGTTTAAAGAGCGTAACCATAGGTAACCGATTACATTATTGTGTACGTTACACAAAAGGAAGTTGAAGATGGGTACTTCGAGTATTACAGTAATACAAACGTTATTGTTAGATACGCACACTTGAGGGCTGTGCCCAACGATTCGCTAGCTTCTGCTACGCCGCGAAGACGTCGATTTGGGAGAAGCCTCGTCGGCGGCACTTCGCGAAAGTCTCTTCTCCAATTTGCGTTTGTCGCGCACAGCTTGTGCGTATTTGTACTTCAGATCTTCGATCTCCTCAAAAAAGTCCTCGTCGAATGCCGCCAATTCGTTGGTTAGCTTCGTGTTTTCGTCCTCCAGTTCGAGAACTTGCGTCTCGAGCTCCTTGACGCGTTCTTCCAGTCCATGCTGTATCTGCCCAACATCTTCGATGTTGGCGTCACGTTCAAGTAGCAACTCCAGTTGAAGCACTCGACGTCGTAGCTCCGCCAGCTCCTTCTCGGACTGCAGCAACAGCCGATCCTTCTCCTTCAGCAGAAGATCCAGCGCGTTATGCTCGCTCTTGGAACTGGAAGACGACGCCTTAGCACGGAGTTTCTGCTGAAGTTTCAGCTTGTCCCTCTTCAGTTCGCCGCTTTCAAGCTGCAGCTTCTCCAATTGAGTTTCGAGTCGTTCTCGAGCCTCCTTGTGCTCCTTCAATTTGCGTCGCATCGCGTCCACTCGCTCGGGAGATATCGCCGCCTGCTTTGTCGCAGCCTTTTTCAGCTTTTCGTTCTCGGCACGAAGTTTCTCGATCACCTTTTTCATGTTCTCAATCACCTCCTCAAGCTCGAGTCGTTCCTGATTCGCCCAAGAAGATCCACGGCCTGCAGCGACGCCTTTCGCCGCTCGACGTTGCTTTGATGAGGTATCCTCACTGCCATCCTTCCCACGCTGCTGGTTGTTCCGCTGTAGCCTTTTGTACTCCAGCCGCAGACTTTCGATCTCCAGCTCCAGGTCGAGTAACTTCGTGTCTTTCGCCACCATATCCTGCTCTTTACTACGCATCTCGTCACCAAGAGCAAGGAGCTCTTCCCGAACGTCTTGGTCGACCAGGAAACGCTGCTCTTCTCTCCGCAGCCGCGTCTGAGGCTCGTGCTCTTTCGTGTCATCGTCAACATCATCGTCAGTCGAGGGAATTCCATACTGAACAAGTCGACGACGTAGACGCTGTAGCTGCGTCTCGTACCGCTGCATTTGGGTTGTAAACGAATCTTCCCATTCCTTCCGCTTCAGCGCCAACGTTTCCTGGAGGAAAGTGTTCTGGCGCTCCACTTCCTCCAACTGCTGCTTCACTGACGAAGAGACTGCCGGTGCTGCAGTCGCTACTTGTGCCAAACGCTCCTTCTCATTCTTCGCTTGCTGTGCCTGCAACTCCGCCTCCAAATTGGCTACATGTTCGTTGCAACGTTCAAGTTCACTGTCTTTACTGGTCACATCCGCCTGCTTCTCTTTGAGTCGTAACATCAAGATGTCCACACGACGCTGCAGCTTCCGCTCACTCTCAAGCTGCTCGCGTTTCGCCTTCGCATCAACTTCCGTCGGCACCACTGGCGCATGAGTGGAAGCCTCGCGCAGCGCGAGATTCTGGGCCTGTAGGATCCTGATCTTCTTCTCCAACTCTTCCACTGCCCTCGCTTCACTCACCACTTTGTCCTTCACCAACCGCTTCAGCCGTTCGACTTCATCCTTCAATATCTGCACATCGACCTCCGACGCGGCGTCTTTCTCCTCCTTCTCCTCGCTCCCAACTTTCTTCTTCCGTCTCGATAGCTGCTCATGTTTCTTCTTGAGTAGCGCATACTTCTCTTGGAGCATCTGCACCTGGCTCTGCAATCGCGTCTTCTCCTCCTTCCACCCGTCCTCTTCTTCCTCGCGACGTTCCTTCTCTTTCCGCTTCCGAGCACTCAAATCCTGGTTCATGGCGTGCTGCGCCTTGACGATCTCAATAGCGTGGCGATCTTCCGCCTTCAAGAATTCTTCCTTCAGCTTGATGATCGCGTCACGTAGCGCCTTGAGTTTTTCCTCCTTCCTCGCCACATCGCGCTTAACGAACGCAACTTGGTGCTCCAACTTCTGCCTGAGCTTCTCGCATTCGACCACTTTCTCTTTCAGCAGAATGATTTCTTCCAATGCCTCTCCTGCACGAGCTTCAGCAAGGTCTCTCTCGTTCCTCAGCACTTCGCGTTCCATCTGCAGCTCTCGAATCGACTGTTTTGCGCCTTCCAACGCGATCTCAGCTTGCTTCCACTCCTGCAGAACATGGTCATGGCGCTCCTGGGCAGCTTGCAGAGCCTGTTTGCTCTTGCCCGATCTCTCCATACTGCTGATAGTACTCATCGCTTCTTTCAGCTGCCCGATCATCCGCTGGTTCTCTTCGTACAGCTTTTTGTTGAGTTGAGTTGTCTCCAGTCGATCCTGCGCCTTATCTTGCGCACTTGAAGCCCGAACTACTGCAAGTTTCCGCTGATACTCATTGATGAGCGTGTTCTTCTCTTCAACGAGCTGCTTCAAGCTGGCGATCGTCACTTGAGCTGCTTGTTGTAGCTCCGCCTGGTCCTTCTCGTACAGACCCACTTTCTGTCGCATCAACGGCGAGTGACTAGAGTCATCTCGCTGGTTATCGTGGCGTCGTGTCTCCCCGCCTGCGATCCCTGTACGCGCGTCCTGTAAATCCAACTCCAGATCTTCGAACTTGCATCTTAGCTCACGCTTCTCGGCTTCCAGGTCTCCATTCAGCCTCAGCAGCTCGGAGACTCGCGCTTGGATCGCCTCCACCTGACGCATGAGATCTTCATTCAGTGCCTTCGTCTCACTAAGCTCAGCTTGCAGCCGGATTTCCCTCTCCTTCGAGCCCGTTGCCTTCGCAGCCGCCTCAAGCTGCCCCATGAGCAGCCGTTCTCGTGTTTCAAGCGCATCCACGCGACTCTTTAGTCGACCCACTTCACTCTGGTTTCCTGGTTGTTTGACGTCTAGCAGCGGCAGTTGCCCTCGCTTGTCCTCCAGATCTTTCTCAAGTTGTTTGCGACGTTGCTGCTCGACCTGAATGTCGCTTTCCAGAGCGTCCAAGCGCTTCCGGAACGCCTCCCACTTGGTGTTCCGAGCCGTCCAGTCGCGCTCTTTGACCTGCGCTATCGCATTCTCCAGAGTTTGCACTCTGTCGCTGGACTTCTCTCGAGTCGCAGACAGCTCCTGCGCTGTCTTCTCCATCTCCAACTCAAGGCGTTGGTTCTTCAACAGAATCTGCTGCTGCGCTTCTGTGACCAGGTCGTACTGCACGAGGAACTGCTGATACGTCGCCTTGATCTGCATCAGCTGGTGCTGGAGCTCGCCTACGATCGCGTGATCTTCCGACGATGCCATCAGCTCACGCAGCTGCTCTTCTTGCTGCTCCCGATTGCCCTGTTCCTGCGCTGCTCGCTTCGTCAGTGTGTTAGCCTGCGACGCAGCAAGTGACGCGATGTCCTTGTACTTGGCGCACTCCAGCGCGAGACTCTCGTAGAGCTGCTCCACTTCGTTGATCCTCTCGTACAAAAGTCTGTTCTCACTTCGCAGCTCCGTGTCGTCTCCAGCGTCTGTCTTGATCGAGAGAGACGCTACTAGCTCGTCGCTGTGGAGTAAACCTGTACAGTTGGCGTCTTCGAGCTCCTTGACGTGCTCCATTTGCTTTTGTAGCTCGCTCTCCAACTGGGTTATCCGATCTTGCAAAACCGCAGGGTCACAGTCGACTGCTCTAGCGTCCTTACGAGCGCTCTTCTCCGCCTGCAACACCATGAGACTGTGTCGTGTTCGACTCAGCTGAGCAGGCAAGTCGTACATCTCTAGATATTTGGCATGGATCTTTGCGTAAGACTCGCTTAACGCGTTGTACTTCTTGAGAACATCCGCCACCGTCCGTTGTTGACTGTCTGCAAACTCCCGCAACACGCTCTTCTCCAACGTCTTCTCCATGCGCTCAATCATCTCGTCAGCGCCCTGTTTCCACGTTTCCAGGTACAAGACGCGATACTTGAGCGTCCTCTCCATTTCGCTCCACTCACGTTTAAGTAGCTTGTTGTGCTCCGTGCTGCTTCGCCATTCGCTATGCAGTTGGTGGCATTTCCGCTTGAGTCGCGCTTCGTTCACTTCATACGCAGCAACTTTTCGAGTCAGTTCAATCACCTCGGAGCGCAACTGCGCTTCGTTCCCGCTGATAAGTAAGTCACCAGTCAGCGTTAGACTCTGCTGGTTCTGCACGCCGAGCAAATGGAATCCCGCTTCGTACCGCCCGCACTTGAGCTTGTAGTCTTTTTTCTCCTCTGCTACCTGCTCCAGCTCATGACGAAGGCGAATCTCAGCGTTGGTGTACTGCGCGTGCATCTGGAAGAAATGCTGGTACAGGACAGTGTGCTGATCCATCAGGGACTGGAATACCTCTTCATGCTGATGCAGTTGCGTCTGGAGCTGCTCGTTACGTGCCTCTGTCGCCACTAACTCATCCAGACACACGTTCAGTTCCCGCATAAGGTCAACTTGCTGCATCATCTGGTCCTCGCTCTCAAACGCCAGATTATCCACGGTCGTTCGAGACACGGGACTGGCCGGATTAACTGACTTCGTCGCAAGGGGTCTCTCGGGTGAATTAGCTTTGGCTCCAGTAACAACTTTTGCTGGTGTAGCCAGCGTCTTAGAAGGCAGCAGCGAGCCCGTCTGGGCTTGGAGGAGTGCAAACTGCGTTTCAATAGCTTTGGCTACAACCAGAGCAATATTATCCGCATCTGCAGTTTCCTTGCCTTTCTCAACGCGAGGCAGCATTGCCTCCTCAATCTGCAATCTCACGCCAGTATCGTCCTCAGCTTGAGTGCGCGTAGAAGTCTGTGCCTTCTTTTCGTCAGCTACAGGCGATGTTTGTGTTCCTGCGTAAGATTGGGTGTGAACCTCTTCGGTAAGCTTCCTGTCAGATGCATCTCGTGTCCGATCATAGCTCTCAGACGCAGCACTGGGAGACGACGCATCCTTCTTGCCATCCTTCTGCTCACGTTCCTTACGAAGCGACGCAATTTCCGCACGCAAATGGTAGATCACGCCCTCTTGTCGTTGCGCCTTTGTCTTTGCGGTGTCTAGTGCACGCAATAGTTCACCTCTTGTATCCTCTGGACCGGAGATTGGCTGCGACGCTGCTTTGACTGAAGAATGAGACCGCGCTTCCTCCAATTCACTCTGAAGCTGCTCCATGTCTTTCAGCAGAATCGCGTTTTCCTCACATCTGACGTCAAGTTTCCGCTCGAGCTCATCAATAGAATCCTGGTGTTCCTGTGCTGTCTGATCTCCATCACGAGTCCCCACAAGCTCACAATCGGTCTCCAAAAGCCGCTTTGCAACCTCTGGCGTCTGCTTTACGCGATCAATAAACTCTTCTACAGCGCCCCACTCTTCCGTTGTCAAGCCGTGTTGCTCATAGAGTTTGTGGCCGGCCAGTCGCGCTTGATCTCTCAGTTTTTTCAGGAATCGTAGTCGCTCAGCCTCCAGCTCCTGGATCTGCACCTCCATTTGCCTCATTACAGCGCCGTTGATCGCCAATTGGCCCTTCAAATGATCCGCAATCGCAAGATCATCGTACTCAAAACTGGCAGGTTTGCCAGCGTCCGCCTTTAGTCGCTCAAACGCCACATGCAGTCTCCCAGCTGCCTCCACTTGCTCGTTTAGATCTTGACGCAGCTTGACATTCATCTTCTGCTGCTGTTCTAGCTGTGCGCGCAGCTTCTTCTGGTACTTCACCACATCTTCCAGTCCAGCTTGCTGTTCGTACTTGGCATTCCACTCCTCTGCTTCCACGAGCTGCTTCTCCACGATACCTTGTCGTAGCTCCAGATCCTGCGCCAGCTCACGCTGCTCTCTTAAGCGCCTCTTCAGCGTTGCATTCTCGTGCTCAAGACTCTCGAGTTTCGCCTTCTGCGCTTGTAAAGCGGCCTCAACAGCACTTTCAACCACAACATCGACGTTTAAATGCTCTGCAAGACTCTCCAGGTCGCTCTGCTGTTGCAGAATACGCTGATTCAGCTCTAAAATGGTGCTTTTGTCTCGGACGCGCAGTTCTTGCAGCATTTCAAGCTGCTTTTCCAGGTCCTCCATGCCAGCACCTGCGTGACCTCGTACCGCGTCTTCCTCCTCTTCGTCTTTCACCACCGTCTTGCTCTCCTGAACCTGCTGCTGCTGTTCGTTTAGCATCCGCTGCTGCTTCAGCTTCCGCTTGAGCTCATCCAGCTCCGCCATGAGCACGGCCTTCTCCATCTCGAACTTGGCCTTCGCGTCGCCCATCAGAGCGTCGACATCGCTCTCCCGCTCGTCCATTTCGATGAGTTTGGCTTCCACACTCAATTTCTCGTGCTCTAGTTCCTCCACCTTTGTATGCAGCAGCGAAATCTCCAGCGTCTGTTCATCGACTGCGTCCCGGTATGCTTCAAGTTGGTCCTGCATGGACAAGATCGACACCTGATACTCCTTCACCTGCGTCGTCATCTTCCTCACTAAAGTCTGCAGTTCTACTGCGTCATCTCGCAATAGTTCGTTCTCTTTCAGCGCCGTATAGAGCTCACTGCGTTCGTCTTTGCTCTCCTCTGCCACTTGAGCCACTTGTCGCTGCGCCTTTAAGCCAGCAGTAGCCTCTCTCTCCAGTTGGTATTGCAGCTCTTTTAATTTAGTCTCCAGCGCCTCGTTTTGTGTCTTTAACGCCTCAAAATCGCGCTCTACAGGCTCTACAGCAGGCTTATCGGGTGCAAATAGTGTCGTCTTCTCGCTGTGTAGCTCGAGCTGCTGCTGCAGCTGCGTCACGAGTCCCGTCACCTTCCCATTTAATGCTACGATCTCGTTTTCTTTCTCTGTCAGCGTCTGCCGCGTTTGCAGCTCACGCGCGTTAGCGTCAGACTGCAGCGTGGCCAGCTGGTCATGGAGCTGCTCGTTCTCGCTCTCAAGCTCCAGCAGGTCGCCACGCAGAAGATCCAGCTCCTCACGCAGCGATGTGCAGTCCGCTCTTGTGCATTTGTTTCCTATAGAAGCGCCGTCCGCGTCGCCTGGGGACGCCATCAACGCTTCCTAGAGTGCGGACAGCCGCATCCGATCAATGCGGAAACGGCGCAGAGTCGCAGGAGTGATGGTCTTTCGCTGTGAAAGCCGCGTATTACCTGCGCAACTCGATAGTGAACGAGCTTTGTTTTGAGATTCAATCAATCTATACAGGATTTAGGAAAGCCGTAGGTTCGGCCACTCATTCGTTGGGGTTATCTACTGGTAAGGTGCTTGATGTGGTGCCGCTTGATGGCACTTCATACGACTAATACAGCTCTATGGACGCTTCTGGGTATGTGACAGCATCGTCGAGTGATTTAGCATGCTGCAGCGCTTCGCCGTGCGATCTAGCGCGGCCTCGGTGGCTCGTCAGCAGGGCCGCAAGGTCGCTGCTAAGCTGCAGGTTGCGTGCTTCTCGTCTGAGGACGACTGGCGCCTCTCGGACGAGGACTTTGACGAGGGAGCCGACAAAATCATCGACAAGGACCGCCGCGACTCGATGCCGCGTCGCCAGATTATGCCCGAGGCTGCCAAGAAGAGCCGCTTCATGGTCGTGTCCCCCGAGAACCGCGGCAAGGTGCGTCGTCGTCTCTTGGACGAATTCAAGAAGGACGGCGTCACGCTCGCTGATCCGGACCAGCCCGGCCAGTACCTCACGCCCGATGCTGGCATCCTGCATGACATCCGCGCCATGAACAAGGAGGGCGACGAGATGGAGCTCGCTGACGACGACGAAGAGGGAGAGATCAACCTCGGCCGGATGGGCCTGTTACGCCAGATCGTACACGTGGATCAGGTGCAGAAGGTCACGACACAGGAGCGTATCGTTAACTTCCGCGCTCTCGTTGTCGTGGGCAACATGCGCGGCGTTGCCGGTTACGCTGTGGGCAAGGGCTCGTCTCCGCCTATCGCTATCCAGCGTGGCACCAAGCTCGCCATGAAGCGCTTCACGTACATCGACCGCTTCGACGACCGCACGTTGTACCACGAGGTGCGTGGCAAGTGGAACAGCTGTACGCTGTTCCTGCGTCCGGCGCCCAAGGACAAGGGACTCACGGTGAGTGACACTGTGGCGTGTGTACTCGACTGCTTCGGCATCACGGACATTGTGTCCAAGACTCACGGCCAGCGCAACCCTTTCACTGTCGTCAAGGCTACGTTTGACGCGCTCTCCAAGCACGAGACGGCCGAGGAAATGGCGCTGCGAACGGGTCACTCGCTCGTGGAGCTCAGCACTCTGGCGCGTATGCGCAACCTGTAGACGTGTAGAGGATGCTACGATTTAAAAGCGAAGAAAAGGGTGTGCCTTACCCCGTTGCATAGAGACAGAGATTGTCATTGATCCATACGATACAAAGCTTGCGGTGGGCGTAATATCTGTTGAGATGAGAACGAGCATACATGGGCCTGCTCGCTAGTTGAAGCTTGCATGCGGCCGACAGGAAGTCGACGTGCACTATATATCTATGCGGCTGGACCTGCCTGCTGCTGCCAGATGATCGACGAGGCTCTTGACAAGCAGAATGCTCTTGGATCTTCCAACTCACGTCGCACCAGCGTTTGTTTTCTCGTAATATCGATCGCTGGCTTTTACCGCGTCAACCAGCCAGTTCATCGCGCCTTCAATGCCCTCCCTGCATCAATACAAGTAGTAGTCAAGTCAGTGACAACAAATTAAGACAACGATTTCAACTGCTACACGCGCCTTGTCAATGCACAGATAGGGTAACTCGCTACCGCGCCCGGATGCCCTTCCAGGTCCAACATCCCAGAAATGTGGTTGACGGTCCGGGCATTATCCAAGTCCATTTTGTTGGCAAGCACTAGCAGCGGCACCCCAGAGAGTTCTGAATTCGAAAGCATGGCGTCTGCAACATCAAAGCTCTGTCAACACCCCTTGTGACAACATCACTGTAGTCGCCACATACGCAATGTCTCTTTGGCTTCCCAAAACCTCTCTTCATTGGCAGAATCGATCACAAACACGATGCCGTGACTCTCACTGTAATATTTGTTCCAGATAGCCCGAAGTCGCTCCTGTTGGGAGCAGTATCGTTATTTTAGGGCTATCGCCATACGCTGCAGTGATAAATTTTAGTATCAAGCCGCACCTGTCCTCCGAGATCCCAAAAAATGACTCTCGATCGTCTGATATCAACTCGAGCGACTACGTAGGCAACACAAACGTTAAGCGCTTTCCTATCATCTCAACTCCCCACTCAAACAACATACTGTTAAGCCCCACAGTGGGCGGGATCTTGTCCAGCGGGATGCCTGGCTTCTTGCCAAAAATGCCCTTAAGCTGCTCCAGAAGTGTCTGTCAACACGAAAGATAATTAGTCTGTATCCCCACTGCGACGCAGCCACTTGCCCAACGCACTTACCTACCGTTTTGCCTGCGTCGTCAAGCCCAACGATGAGCAGATGCAGCTCCGCCTTGCTGAATAAATAGCTCCACAGCCCCCAAAACAACGAGAACATGGCGCTACAATAAAGATAATGAGCCACAAAACATGAAATAGGGCGAGGGGCTTATGCGCAACTTAAAAATCGACCTTACGGCAGAGCTTAAGTTGCTACGGTAGTTTTCAGAGATTTGATCACCAAGTTCTCATACGCCAAACACCCATCAGACTTCGATACGACCATGCAGATTCAGATCAAGGTGCGCAGTTCTTAGAAGGCGAAATCACCTGCTGTACTAACTAAAGCTCGTCACTGGCGCTATCCGCCGCAGACACTTACGGGCCGAAAGCAGACGTTCAACTTTGAGCCAGACAACACGGTACGGCAGAGCCGACTAGTGGGGTGATATCCTTCGCTAATACTGACGCTAGAACCTCGTTGCGGTAGATTCTGCACGTGAAGCAGGCGCTACAGGAGAAGGAAGGCATCCAGGTGGACCAAATCCGTCTTATCTACAGTGGCAAGCAGCTGTACGTCTGTGGACAGTGCCGAGATGGAGGGAATACAACACTAACATCTCTCGTTTGTTTTTCTGTGGAGCAGAGCGGATGACAAGACACTGCAAGACTACAATGTAGCCGCTGGTGGCACCATTCACATGGTGCTGCAGCTGCGCGGCGGCTGCTAGATGAGTAGAGCGAAGACCAAGACAGTTAGAGTAACACGTCCCGGCCTGCTACTGGACTCTCCGCATCCAGCTTTAAGCAGCGCTCTCAAGTTGCAGCTACCAACACGCCCTAGTCTTTTAAAGATGAACGTGCATTTCGTGTCATATTAGCGCTCTTATTACAACGTAGTACGTCTTTATTTTCTACTGGGCGTTCGTGGGTTTGGCTGTGTTGGCATCCGTCGCGTTACGGGCGTCCAGCTGCTGCTTGATAAGCGGCTCCAATTGCTTCTTCTCGGCCAGCGTCCTGAGCAGCTGCATGATGAACGGGATGTAGTTGTGCTTGCGGCGCTTGTTCTCCAGAGCCCAATTTTCGCGCTTCTGCTGCTCTGCAGCAAGATCTGCTTGGATCTGCGCCGCCTGTTGCTCGCTTCCCCCGCCTTCAATGACCGCTTGGAGCTGCTCTTCGTACGTCTGTATTCGGTTCTTCACCAGTGCCAGCAGATTGAAGCGGATCTCTGTGGCCGAGTACTTCTCGATCCTCTTCTGGATCACAGGACACGCCACCTGCAGCCACGAGTCGCGGTTCGCAGCATCTGGCACGTCTCCAAGACAGATCGGCCCTTCTCGTAGTCCGTCCAGCTCGTAGACTTTGCCGTTCACGGGCACGTAAGCCACAAAGTGATACACGTCGTCGTCCTCGGTCGCTTTTCTCTCTTCCACGACGAAAGGCTCGGCTCGAGCAAAGGAATTGTGGGCCAGACGGATCTTGTCGCTGTTTGAGATGGCCAAACCTTTAAGATCCGACGGAAAATCACCCGTGAAGGCCTTGAACTCTAACAGCGTCTCGCCAAGCTCCACGTCCTGTGCGTTCAGTAGGATAGACAAGATCGCTTGTGTGGCACAGGCGTTGCTGATCACCTGCTTGGCGAAGAAGACCCCATCTCCTTCACTGGCAAAGACTGGGGGCTCTGCGTCCTCCCCGTGGTTGGACTCGTACTTGAAGAGGAACACGAGACCGAAAACGGGCGACAGATCGGAGAATTGCTGCTCGTCTAACGTATAGAGCTCTTCAACCTGCACGCCTTTGACACCAATGTCCTCGATGAGAGCGGTGAACACACCTGCAACAAGAAGGCGAGGATTAGATCACGGATTGGAGGGGAGAAAGGTGAAGAGGAACCTACCGGGGTCAGACTCGATCGTGCACCACGACATCGGTATTCAAAGATATTTTTTGTCACTAATCGTATTAGTGACAGGCAGACTGATAAATCCTATTTTAAAATCTAAAAAATATTTTAGCGTTTCATTATTTTATAGTGTTACTATTAAAATAGGGCTACGCGAGGCAGATTAAGGCGCTAAAAGCTATCTTTTACGTGCAAGCGCGAAATTCGCTCTGTGAAAGAGCTTGTGTTGCCCACTAGAACCAATACCAATCGACATATCTTAGAACAACGACGGCGCTCGTAGCTCCATTGGGGCATGGTGCGAAGATTGCTGTTATGGATGAATATCGTTAAACCTCCGACAAAACCGGAGCTCGCAATTATCATTATTGACTAATCATCAGGCTTGAATATAAATTTAGCGAATCAAACAAAGATACCGCATTATTTTGACCAATCCAATGCGAGTTGAGTTTGTAAACAACAGCCTTAATAGCTGTTATTGATATTCCCGTACAAACTTTTAATCATTTGCATGTTTCACGAATAACACGCAAACCCCGACACTCCGACACACCATGAGCTTCACAGACCTCGCACCCACCAACACAAAGCGTGCGAGCGAGAGCGCGTCTCGCAATGAGGAAGGCGTGACATGGGAGTACCTGGAGATGTGCATGAAGCGCGACGACGCTACTACCGTGCTGAAGGCAGTGATAGACACGTTCGGCATGCATTTAGCTTTCAAGAAAGGCCGCAGTGGTCAGCTCTTGGCTAGACATTCGATGATGCAGTACTAACGACAGGGCAAGAACTGGCTGCTAGAGCGGCTTCCACTGCTTCGACCAGCAACGGAGAAGAACCTGCTCAAGCAGGGGTAAGTCCTGGAACGATATTGCATGAAGCGCGAGTCCGGTACTTTTGACAACAAGGCGCTCGCGTGCATGAAATCAGCACTGAAGAAAATGACGACGTATCTGTATTCAACTGCTGCTACGGCTTCCGACTATCAAGGTGCGGCAATCCTGTGCCTGCTTTGGTTTCTCTTCGGACGAGCGTCTGACCTCACCTTACTGCGAAAGGAGAATCTATTGATCGGGTCAGGGAATATCTTCATCGTCCACTTCCATCGAGTGAAGACATTTGAAGAGCAGGGTCTCTCTCTTTTCCCGGACGAGAATTTAACACCTGCCCGCTGCTGGTCATTGCGCTATCCTTGGCGATGTAATCGGCACGCACCGCTTCTCTCATGAGCCAACTTCCCGAACCGCATACTGTGTCCCGTGCAGCCTTGACCCCACAGCCCCTCTCATCGACTTAATTGATCATCCGGGCGTCGTCGCACCGCTACATCCATCTTCGGTTAAGGGAAGTCAGCTGAAGATGCGCCAGGTATCCACAGCTACGTCAACCGTGTCTTGGCGCAAAAGCCGGTGTGACAGAGCGTTTGACATCTCATTCATTTCGTCGGGGTGGAGCTCAACATGCCAACGGCGATGGGATGTGTGTGCAGTAGATCTTCGACCATGGTGCTTGGAACATGACGTCGACGAGCAAGACCCTCGCGTAGGTCTTTAATACTCCTGCAGAATACCATAAAAATGCTCGTGCTCTCAGCAATCGAGCCCCGAAGAAGCCGTCGCACGGTTAGACCTCGATTCCTTTGATTCTACCACGAAAGGCAACATACGATCGGTTGCTTCAGCGCTGTTCATGTCTTCGTCAGGACTCGCCTCAGAACAGTACAATGCCAACGCGCGCGTGCTGGACCCCCTCACGACCTACCTGCTCCGCCACGACCCATCACTGAAGTCCCTTGCAGCTGATAGCCCTGCAATTCAACGTCTGGAGGCGTGTGCCATTGAGAGAGGGTTCTCCGTCAATAATCTCCTTGCTTGGTCGTCATACCTTGCCTCTGTTTCCCCCAGCAAACCTGACACCTTAGTTGCACAAGACACAACAGCCGACGTCACAGAACACCCCGCGTTCCTTCAGCGAACAACCACGCAAGCGACGACGTACCTCTCCGGCTTCGAGTTGGAAAGACGCTTGGTTCACTTGGTACCTCAAGAACCGCGGATATGGAGATCGACGGACCCAGAGAGTAAGCATGCGCGATCAACAGCGAAACAGGTAGTCGCTTTTCTCAAGCTATTCTTTGAAGGCGGCTTCAGACTTGTTGAGATCTCCTCGCGATATCGTGGCGATGTCCTGAAGATTGATGAGAGTGCCGAAGCCACGCTGCTCACGTTCCTGAACCAGCACAACATCACCGCCCGTGGTGCGCAGAATGCTTTGAAGTCCATGCGCAAACTTCACAAAGGTGGCAGTCTAGACCAGCACATTCTTCGCTATCAGCAATGCCAAGCTTCCGGTCACATTCTTGATCCAGCTCCTTCACACGCAACAAACGTATTTGAGGTAATTCATGGCAAGTAAATTCATTCAGTGTTACCTATTCACGTGGCCCAGTCAATGCTTCCGCAATCGAGTGACCCTGCCACTCAATTTGTGATCCGCACCCAAGCTCACACAGCACCGTCTTCATACCATCGATCAAACCCACCAAGAACGCAGTCCGCCCTTACAAGGAGTTCAAGTCGTGCTGTATTGCTACATAAAAAAACACAAGCTTCGAATTAGCGATGAGGCAATCCGCCACCTACGACTTACCATGACCACGTCTGTAGCCTCCGCGGCCCTGCTGCCTGAAGACATCGACGACCATCGACGTTATTTGCGCTTCACTGTTCGAGAGGAAGACACGCCGCGCGAGCCTGGAGGATGTACGCGAGTAGCTGGTCGAGCCACCTCCTGCTGAGCACGAGGACGCAGCTAGTTCCACACTTGGTCGGCACCTAGACCTTTCATTGTTCTCGCGATCAACTGCCAGTCTTCCAGCGGCAAGCAGAAGGAGCACCGCGGTGGATATCACTGCTCCAGCGAGGACGAAAGTTTACGCAAACGGATGCGAACAGACTAGATATTTAATCTGCGAAGGTCTAATATGTTCGTCTACGCCACGTATGTACCAATAAACAAAGCATGGACAACAGGAACAGAACAGCAGTCATGACGATGACTGGAAGTGTATCTACTACGTACGCAACACGAACTGGGAATGTAGAATTTCATCATGTTGATCGTAGCACAGTCCAAGCACCACCAAATACAGAGCGCTATGGCTAGAGCATCAGCTTCACGGGCCATACGCGCATCCTACTCTCTCGTGTTCCGGAGTGCTGCCACCAATGAAACAAGGACAGTTGATCGCACGAAATGTATTGGGGATATAAGCAGACCCACTCTCCTCGGCGAACATATAATGGGACAGCCTCCTATTTCGGGACAAAACATTTCTATTACAAGACGCTATTTTAAAATATATCTCCCATTGGCGAAAACATTCTGTTGGACGACGAACTGCGTCGCTTCGATAGAGGAAGCACGGGTGACAACTCTCCCTCAAACCCCAGACAAAACAAAAACATATTTGCCGACTTATCGATTTCAGAAGCGAGTTTGCCACATCCAGTACAGATCACATGGGGTCTAAGCGTAAACAAGTGGTAGACTTCGTCCAAGTGATATCCTTGGTCAAGGACGACGGAATGTCCTTACGTAAGGCTGTGATGTCGTTCGGCGTAAAAAAAATCGAGTCTTCTTCGCCGCGCGATTGGCCAAGTTCCTATGGACGCTAAGCGAGGCCTAACAATCTATCACCGGAAGACGAAGAAGGTCTCGTTGAGGTAATCATCTTCCGCTCAAGGCGCGGTATCAACGAGCGGCGTATTCTAGCTCTGGACATTTCTAAAACGGAAAAGGCCCTCATTCTTGAGTCATATCCATCAATGAAATGGGGTTCCAGGATCGTTAACGGACACAAAGATCGTCTTACTCGTCGGAAAGCCCAGACTGATGTAGCCCGCTACCATATATATATACCACAGATCGTATTCGTGCATTTTATAAGGCAACATCGAAGTAAACTATGCTTTGTAACATACATCCTGATTCAAAGTTTTCAACGCGGCTTTTCCTGTTTAAAAATCGAGTTGAAAATCCTATCTTGTAAGATACTTAAAAATCGAGTATGGGACGCTGGGTGTAGTGCTGCTGCTAAACAACGGAGCACACGTTCAGAACATAGCCTGCTTACCTTCACTAGGCATAGACACTACAGCACACCGGGTTTCGCGTGCTGGCGCTGTGTGTAGATAAAATCGAATTTAATCATTGCACCCAGTGTGTGTACATGTGTAGCAGCAATGCCCGTTAATTTCCCGCCGCCTAACATTGTTACCTGTCCATCTGTCAATCGGTCCGTCGTTTTCCTTTCTTGCTGCTTTTTCTTACCTTTTCGCATGGCTACACCCGGCCTTTCTCCTCCTATCTTACCGACTGCGCCTACCTTTCTGACTCGACCTAGCTATGCCAAATTTACAAATATATCCAATAGCGTCACACAATTAACTCGCGCGCGCATTGGTCAATATTTGCCGACCTGCGACACTGACTGGATCTGTCGCACGATCACACCGTCTCTCGCCCTCGCGAGGTAAACATTTTTTGCCGAGCACGAAACGCATCGATTGGATGCAAACAATCAGCTGAGTTGTGTTATCGATTGCGTTTTTACATTTTACTACTATTTTATTTTATAATGAGTACCAACATTAAATGACCGTGTATTGGGTAATATTCTGACGTGTTTTATTGGTTAAAACAATTTCGTCTATATCATATAATAATTAAACGCCATTTAATATTTCGTTTAGTAGTAATATTACTAAACGAAATTTATATTATACAGCCCGCAGTAAATGACCGTTATAATACCTAATATTTATACGCACGCTAGTAATTATATAAGCTTCTTCACAGTTTGCAACATGGCCAGGCCCACGTGCAAGGCCAATATTGACCTGCTACTGCTGAATCCGTAGCGGTCTACGATGAGCTCACGGGCGCGCTGCGCCTGCTGCAGGAAGCTGCAGTGTGGGTACGTGCTCCGTACAACAAGCGGGCGCGACATCGCGTGGCGTT